CCTTCTCTTGTTCATTCATCTCCACACAGTTGGTTCTATTGCTTAACTGCTTTTAAGCTTTCCATCTCTCTCTCTCTCTCTCTCTGTGTGTGTGTGTGTGTGTGTGTGTCTGTGTGTGTGTGTGATCAAATGCAATTTGCAATAATTTTTTTTCCATTTGGCTTCATTGAAAATATCACCTGCCTTTCCTATGTGCAAACATTTGATGCCTGTTTAATTTTGGAACCTCAGTCATCACACTGCCAGAGGTGTGGCTCCAATGATTCCCTTCCTACAGTTGAACAGTTGATGTCCCAAAGGGTTTTTTTTTTTTTTTTCAAAAGGCAAACTGGGTTTTCTTGCTTTTTTTTTTTTTAACTTGAAAACATTTCGCTTCTCACATCCAAGAAGTTTCCTCTGGTTCAGAAGAAGAAGAAGAAGAAGAAGAAGAAGAAGAAGAAGAAGAGGAAGAGGAAGAGGAAGAGGAAGAGGAAGAAGAAGAGGAAGAAGAAGAAGAAGAAGAAGAAGAAGAAGAAGAAGAAGAGGAGGAGGAGGAGGAGGAGGAGGAGGAGGAGGAGGAGGAAAACGAAGAAAGTCCAATTGCCTTTTGGAAAAGCACCTTTGGGGCAACCATGAGCTGGATGATGGAGAACATCCATAGACATTCAACAGTAGATCTTGAGAGGTCAGGGGAAAAGGTCTTGTTTTTTTTTCTACCGATGGACCCTACAACATAATATTACCATGGAACTTGGTATTGTGCTGAATATGCCACACCTTTCCTCTTTCTTCTCCTGATTCTTTCCTCTTTCTGCACAAATATTTCACAGCCATTGAGCATCTACAATGCTCATTGGGCAAGTTCTGAACTCTCCACAACTCAGGAGCCCTTACTCAAACTTGGGAAGTATGGTAGGAGGACACTAGCCATAAGGAAACTGACACCACCATTACCGATTTTGCATGTGTCAGAAATTCTATATTAAATTTGATTGCTTATTGTATCCTATGACTATTATTAAGTGTTGTACCTTATGATTCTTGACTCTTGACGAATGTATCTTTTCTTTTATGTACACTGAGAGCATTTACACCAAGACAAATTCCTTGTGTGTCCAATCACACTTGGCCAACAAAGAATTCTATTCTTTTGTGAAGTTCCTGGAACTCATCAGAAATCATAATCAATTCTTATTTTATTATTTTTTAAAAAAACAAGACAGAACAATGAAGGAGATACTCCCACTCAAATATTAAGTACTTCACAAAGATAAAATGCTTCTCTCTTCACCAGGAAATTAATGAAATACAATTTAGGATACAATGGGTAATTGGGTTTATTTTTCATTTTATCTTTTTCAACATCCAGAAGCTAAGGGATTAGGCAGAAGGACAACAGAAATAGAAGGCAGTTTTACCCAAATTGTCTTTCCAATATGAAATAGAGGGGGCACTTATACTATGTGTGTTTCTAGCTAGTGTAGGGAAGTTGAGAAGCTGAAATATGCAAACATATTTAATATAGCCGGTTTATTGATCCGCTAGTTACAAGGCAGACAACTCTTTAATTGATAGCTCTAGCAAGCACTATATCATATAACATGATTTACCTGTCTCTGTTAGACAACAGCATCAACCAAAATTGTGTTGCAAACTATCAGCAAGGCAATTGTCAACTAAGGAGGTGTGAAGCACAAAAAATGCAATCTACTTTAGCTTACTCAAACTTGGGAGTTTTCTTCAACCACTCCTATTGACTTCCTGGCTTGAACAATGCTCCTCCTACCACACAAATGAAAACGATAAAGAAATTGTAGATCTCAAACCAGGTCAGGTCTCTATTTATTTTAAGAAGGAACCTCCGGTCTCTTTTTTTACATATACAGCTTTAGAGTCACACACCACTTTCTCATGAAAAGAAACATACACCTAAACTTTCTTCTCCGTGAATGGAGAGAAAAAGTTCCAGAAATTCTAGAACCAGAAAGTCATAGTTTTCAAATAATTATTGGCTTTTTAATGTTTTTTCTCTCAGCAGCAGAGAACAAGAGATCAAAAGATGAAGTTGTTTACTTTGGAGTTTTGCAATGTAGAAGGATCAATTACAATGCTACTAACTATCACTCCAAAGTAAACAAAATATACTTTGGCTGCTCCACCTTGTTTGTTATAAGTAACTCTCAAAGTCTTTATACAAATTAATGTCAAGTCAAGAACGTAGAGATATGGCTATGATGACATCAAGAGACCCATGGCCCTCTTGAATATACTGATGAGTAGCGGAGTGCAAAATTGTGAATAAAAGCTCAGCGTAAATGAGCTCACAACATTTCCAGAATTTATTTTCCTCCCCATCCTGTTCTATATTTCTGTATGATTCAATTACATTAGGGATAAACTCAAACCTGGGTTTACTTTATAGCTCCTTCTTCTGCATTTTGATATAGGAGTAAGGATGGATAAAATTTGATTATGCAACTGGCTGGTTTTTTTTTTTTTTTTTTTAGGGATATTTCTGGCCATATTCAACACTCGACGGCTGAGATATCAGGTAAGGCTTCTACGAATGTACTAATAATACAAATCTGGCTGTAATCCTTTAAATAGCCAGTTTGGACCAAGGGACACTTGTGTCCCTATCCATTTTTTTAAAAAAATGCACAAGTGGCACTTGTACAATCAATGTCACAAAACCTGAAATGATTGTTTTAGGATAGTTTCTAGTGATCACATCAGAGCATTCATATCTCTTGGCATCAATTCCTCAAGATTTAAGGAAGATTTCTCTCTCTCTCTCTCTCTCTCTCTCCTTGTTTTGTGAGACTGATATGATCTGAACTTCAAGCTGCCTACAGGACGAAGCACCCAAAACAATGAACGCAAAACAGGTACCCTGATCCTATATTTGATTTTGGGAAATGGGATTGACAGGCAGTCTTTCTCTCTGGGGATTAGGAGAGGTTGTCCTACTCCAGCACTTCCAGAAGACGCAAGGTTCTTAAAGGTACCCAGAACTTTGGAGGGTGGCCTCTATGACTCATCCTCTCAAGGGACCCCCCCCCCCACACACACCCCTTCTATCACACCCGAACCCAACGCGAACCCCTCAATTCCCTCCCCAGCTCAAAACTTTCAGCCCACTCCCCCCTTCATCCCCCTTCCTTCTCGCTCAGCAAAGTTGCTCCTTCGAACTTGCCCGTCGTCGCGGAACCAGGGGACGGTCTCCCCCTTCCTCGGCTACCCAGGCGACCGCCATCCCGAGTTTAGGATGCTGTTTCCTGAGCGCGCATCCCTTCTGCCTCCGCGCCAGCCGTCCAACAACCTTAAGAGGAAGCTGAGCGGGCTCCGATCCTTCCCAAAGGATGCCAGCGCAGCATCCCTCCGCCCACCCTACCCCGTCCTGCCCCCCCCCCCAAAAGCGCACAGGGACCCAGGACGGCTCACTCAGGATCCCGCTCCTTTGCGCCTATCCCCCCCACCCGCTCCTTACCTGCGACGGCTCCATGGAAGAACCCCCCCCCACGCCCGGCCCGGGCCGGGCCGAGCCGCAGCCCCCCTCTTCCCCTTGGGCCGGCGTGGGCGACGCGCGGCCGGGCGCCCCGATCGTCCGGCGCCACACCGCTGCGCCTTCTCGCTTCTCCTCCTCGCCACCTGCTCTCCCGACCACCTAATCGCAGGGTGCACCAAAAAGCCTCCCCCCCCACCCAACAACCCGTCGGGGAGAGGAGGGAGGAGGGGGGGCGCTCCGGAGACGGACGGGAACCCCATTGGCTGGCCGCGAGCGCTCCGGCTGCCCATTGGGCGCGGGCGGGGTCCGGGGCGGGGCGGGGCCGGCGCTGAGGAAGGGCTGGGGTTGGCGGGGGAGAGGCAAGGTGGGGAGAGGCGCGCCGCGGCGGCTTTTGTGTGCTCGGTCGGGCGACGGGGAGCGGTCGGGCCAGAGCTGCGGCAGAGAGCCAGCCAAGCCAGCCAAGCCGGCCGGCCGGGCGGGCAGGCAGCGAGCGCAGCCAAACAGGGAGGGCTGGTGGACGCCGTCGCAGGCGGCAGCTTCGGGGTCCACACACCCACCCACCCACCGCACCCCTTCCTCGCTTTGCGCCTCTCGCTGACCGGCTCGCTCGCAGCTCCCTCGCTTTTTTTCCCCTGCGCGCCGCACTATGCATCGGAGCGCTCCGCTTGCGCCTTGTCGGGGGCCGCTGGCGCTGCGCTCCGCACCTCGAGGGGCGTCGCGGGCCCTGCGGGAGGACTAGAGGCGAGAGAGCCCGGGACAGCGCAAGAGCCGAGCCCGGGAAAGGGGCAGGGCAGGGCAGGGCAGAGGAAGCAGCGGGGGCTCAGCCAGCCAGCCCGTCCGTCCGTCCGCCCTCCCGCCCGCCCGTCCCTTCGGAGAAGCCCCGCCAAAGCCGCGGGACGAGCCAGCAAGCCAAGGCGAAGGAAAGGGAAAAAAGCAGCGGCGGCGTTGGCGTTGGCGTCGCCGCGATGCTGGCCCTGGAGCTGCTGAGCCTGGCTTGGCTGGCCGGCGTGGCGATGGGGCAGAACGAGACGGAGCCCATCATCCTGGAGGGCAAGTGCCTGGTGGTGTGTGACTCCAACCCGGCTTCCGATCCCACCGGCACGGCGCTGGGCATCTCGGTCCGGTCGGGCAGCGCCAAAGTGGCCTTCTCGGCCATCCGCAGCACCAACCACGAGCCGTCGGAGATGAGCAATCGCACCATGATCATTTACTTCGACCAGGTAGGGACACCCCCCCCCCAAAAAAAAATCCGGGAAGGGGGTATTTAAAGAGGGGGGGGTTCGGGGAAAGGGGGGGAAGTGGGGAGGAGGGTTTTGGAGGGGTGGGAGAAGGGAGGGCACACTTAGGAATAGAAGGTGGAGATGCCTTCCTCCTCTTCTGCCACTTTCAGCCCCTACTTTCAGTTCTCCAGAAGACACCCCGATATTAGAGGGGGGGGGGGAACAGGTAGGGTAGTCAAGTCCTCAGCCACAAAGCCAGATGTCCAGTTGAATGCCGGGAGAGCCAACCTGTCTCCCTCCAGTTGGGACTTCAACACCTCTCCATCCCAAGCACCTGGATTTATGGACCTACCTTGGGGAGGAGCAGCCCTGAACCTGGCGAGGGTTACCTAGCCCAGGTTTAGCCTCTCTGTGTTCAGGGAAGAGGGTGCAAAAGGGAGATGTGAGAATGGAGTCTCACCTTCAGAGTGGACAGCGGAAGGAGAAGGAAAGAAGGCTGGATGGTTGCAGAGAAACGACCTTAAAGAAAAACTTGGATCTACACCTGGGCGATATTCCCCCTTTTCTCTCTTTCTTTATCCTCCCCATTCTCTGTTTTCTTCCCTCCGTCCCATAGGTGCTGGTCAACATTGGGCTCAACTTCGACTCTGAACGCAGCACTTTCATCGCTCCCCGGAAGGGCATCTACAGCTTTAATTTCCACGTGGTCAAGGTGTACAACAGGCAGACTATCCAGGTGAGATTGCATGGCTTCTTCAACTGAGAATTTTCCTTTTTTTTTTGCCCTGGGTGGGAAAGCAGTGGCCTCCCCTAATTTATGCGAATGAATGAGAGGGACCAACTTTTTTCAACTCACCTGTGAGAAACTGACACCTTTGAATTAAGCTGTTTTTTCGGAGTCAGCCTGCCTAGCTCCAGGACTGCACAATAAATGCTGAAGCTCTCTGCCAGGAGGAGTGTGTGTGTCTGTGCAGGCACACATGTTTGTATGTGTATTTTGATGTCGAGGCATAAGTGAGTGTGTGTGATATCCATCATCTGCTCAGTGCAGAAATCGTGTGCCAGGAACCATCCCGTAAAAGGTAGTTGTGAATTTCTCGATATGGAATACCCGTGTGTGTGTGTGTGTGTGTGTGTGTGTAGGGGTGTGTGTGTTGGGGTTGCTTTGCGGATTTTGAAATTCAGGTCTGTGTAAATCAGGGTGAAAACGGTTTCTGGGTTTTTCATTGCAGAATTATACTACATGGGCAAGATTTATGGGAGTAATGTGTATACAGATACAGATTTAGAGAGAGAGAGAGATTAGATAGATAGATAGATAGATAGATAGATAGATAGATAGATAGATAGATAGATAGATAGATAGATAGATGGATCTAAAGAGAGAGATGAGAGGTGATGGATGGATGGATGGATGGATGGATGGATGGATGGATGGATAGATAGATCTAAAGAGAGAGATGAGAGAGAGGTGATGGATGGATGGATGGATGGATGGATGGATGGATAGATAGATAGATCTAAAGAGAGAGATGAGAGAGAGGTGATGGATGGATAGATCTAAAGAGAGAGATGAGAGAGAGAGGTGATAGATAGACAGACAGACAGACAGACAGACAGACAGATGATAGAACAATATACACCCATACAGTATATTTTCTCATGTATCTGGCCAAGAATAATGCAAAAATGAAGAAAGTATGCTGGGCCCTGGAAGGCTGAAGTTTAATCCTGCTCTTGATTTTAAAGCTTTCTTGGAATCAGCTACTTTCATGCTTCAGCTCTTTCCTGGCTGCAGTAAAAATGAAATGAATAATGAGCCACCCTATTATTTATCATCGTTTATAAATCTGTCCGGTTGCTCAGCTTGGTCTTTGTCTAGCTTCCGACCATTCTGGAACTGAAAACAGTTGCCAAAAGCTGTCCTCCCTAAATTGAGCCTTTCTGATTTAGAGGAAAAAAAATAGTCTCAGTGTTCTTCTGCTTTTTGTTTAAGGTCTTCATGTTTCCAGTATTTTGTGCTAAAATTCAGGCAGTTGCTTTTTTTTTTTTTTAAAGGCTTCCCTGTTTATAAAGTTGGATTTTCTTCCAAGAACACATCTTTAATAATGAGGCAGAATGTGCTCTCTTACTAATATACAGATCGTATCCATGCAGGGAAGCCAAATTTTTCTTTTCTCTTTTTTCCTATTCTTTTTTCTTTTCCTTTCTTTTCTTTTTTCTCTTCTCTTCTCTTCTCTTCTCTTCTCTTCTC